TCGTCCCAGCGAAGGCCACCTTCAGCCGAAAAGCGGGCGCGGGTAGACACAAGTGCCGAGGAGTCGCCTGTGGGAACTTTGCCAGATCCACATCCGACGAGAGCACCTTTGCTTCGGGAGCTGGAGGAGGAGAGGTGAGACTCCTCTGGAAGGCCGCGGCTACCTATGGATGGACAGTCTCAACGGTGGATGTGAAAACGGCCTTTCTGAATGCGCCAGTCGATGACTCGGCAGAGAGGGGAATTGTCATTGTTGAGCCGCCCCGGGTGTTCAGAGAAGCTCAAATCCTCAAGCGCCCAGGAGAAATCTGGAGAGTCCGGAAGGCCCTATATGGGCTGGCCACGTCACCAAAGGACTGGTGCCTACATCGTGATCGGTGCTTCAAGGAGTTCTGCTGGGAAGAGGGCGAGGTCAGCTATAAGGTGGAGAAGACCGCGCAGGACGACATGTGGGCGGTGCGAGGACAGCGAGCTGGAGAGGAGCAGTGCCACCTGGCGGGGCTGTGCGCCACTTTCGTCAACGATGTGATCATTGCTGGGGACGAGGCGGTGGTCAAGGGCATCCACCAGAAGATCAAGGAGAGCTGGAAAATCGGAGAGCCCTCATGGATCAGAGAAAGGGAAGGGACTTCGTGGTGCACCAGAGAGCCTGCCTGGAGAACCTCTTCCTGGAGTACGAGGAGACCGGAAAACCAGCATTGGGCCAGATCAAAGCCCGGAAGATGTCGCTCGGGCAGAGAAGGAGACGGGCGAGCTACTGTGGGTCGCAGGCAGAACTAGGCCAGACATCAGCCTGGCAGTCAACTTGATGTGCCAGTGGTCAACGAAGAGGCCAAAGGGAGTGGCTGCTATTGGCAAGCAGGTTCGGGCCTACTTGAGGGAGACTAGAGATGAGGGGCTGCTCATTGGAGGACCTCGAGAAGGAGAGACGGCTCAGGAGAAGTTCAAGGGGGTGGACGTGTACTCAGACGCCTCATGACCAGCGTCGATGGAACCCCAATCATGTGGCAGACCTCAAGACAGGCATTTGTCACGCAGCAGAGGCAGAGCTCATGGCGCTCTTGGAGAGTTTGATCATGGCCAGGTCAGTGGGAGCGCTGGTGGAGGCAGTGTTCGGGTGGAAAGCGGCGTTGAGACTCAACTCGGACTCTACGGCCGCGATAGCCATAGCAGCAGGAAAAACCTCATCGTGGAGGACGAGGCATCTTCGGATCAGGGCTGCAGGGTTGACGGAGGCACTGAGGGCCAGGGAGGTGTCACTGAGCCACGATGCCGGGACGGAGTTGGTGGCCGATGGGATGACCAAGCAGTTGACAGGCCAATCCCAGAGGAACTTCAAGAAAGCCCTGAACATGACACCGATGGGTGACCATCAGGAGGCGGTGATCAAGAAGATTGAGCTGAAGAACAAGCTTCACTAGGGGCATGGGACTGTTGGTGGCAGCAGCCAGTCTGCTTGGGAGAGTGGAAGCTGTGACGGAGGACCAGAAGGAAACCTCAAGTGAGTGGTGGATCATCGTGTTGATCACGGCAGCTATCGCCATCCTGGTATCATATCCAGTCTTCAGGCCCCCTCCTTACCAAGCTCTTGCTCCCCGTATTAAGGCCAGGCGGTTCTGGCTCTTGCTTCCTTTTCATCCTTGGGCACGTGGCCTGCACTACCAAC